GGCAACATACTTCTCCTGAACAATTTCAAACGTATTTCGATATGACAATAGAAAGACTAAGCTCTACTAATAAACCGATATATGTCATGGGCGACTTCAACATTGATCTCCTCAAATCTGAAACCTGTGATTTTTCTCATAACTTTCTGCTGTCCCTGCAAAGTTACTCCTTTTTTCCAGTAATTGACAAGCCTACAAGAGTCCATAATAATTCTGCCACACTTATTGACAATATTCTTGTTAACAGCATTGGCTTTAAACTCTCCAGCGGCAACATTGTCTCAGATATAAGTGACCACTACTCTCAATTTTGCATCATCCATTCTCCATCTTTAAAATCTCGCTATCAGGGGACTAAAATCCGTGACTATTCGAGATTCTCGGAAGAAAACTTTATCAGTGACATTTCTCAAACTGACTGGACCGGTTTGATCTCTAATGGCTCTATTGACAAACGCTTTTCTTCGTTCTACAACAGATTGAATAAAATTGTTAATAGACATGCTCCTCTCAAATTTGTATCAAAACGCAAGGCCAAGCAACTATCTAAACCGTGGATAACTAGAGGTTTACGTAGATCAATAAAAATTAAGAACGATCTCTTTTACTCTGGTGACACGGCTACATACAAGTTGTACAGGAACACAATTTTAAGCCTTACTCGCCAGAGTAAAAGACTTTACTATCAATCCTATTTTAGTAGCAACCTAAATAATATGAAAAAAACTTGGGAGGGGATTAACACTTTAATTAATAAGCACAAAAAGACTAAGCTCGTATCGTCGCTCCAGCTTCCAGACAACCGGGGTACGACACAAAACCAATCAGAAATAGCTAATGCATTGAATTATCATTTCGCATCTGTCGGACTTAAACTTGCAAATAGCATACCATTATCCACCAGGGACTTTAAGGATTACCTAGGGAATTCAAATTTTGGAATTCATTTTGCTGCAGCAAAATGTAACGACCTCCATCCGTGGTTGTCCATGAGGGACGGATCTGCTCCTATCTTAATCAGACCTTTCACCGCTTGAACGTTGCCATTCCCAGCAGCAATCATTAGGGGCGTTCTGCCTGTTGCGTCCTTGGAGCCAACAGAATTACCTGAGATTAAGTAAATTGAAAAGAAGACAGGTAACACTAGTAAAGAAAGAGGTCGAGGTGGGAGAACAACTTTTGAGATAAAAAAAAAAACACTTAAACTAGTGAGCAGCACTATGTGAGCAGTAGTTGTAAAACTTCTTTATTCTCCAACGCATTTCGTCTAACTATTGAAGTCTTCTTCAAGGAGTTTTACAAGTTAACACTGTACGCCTGTATGTAACTGATTCAATTCCTTGTTGTCTCCGCTCACAGAAGTACCGCATAAAATCAGATAATGTGAATAGAAATCAAGAAAGGCATCAAACTTTAAGAGGGTGGCAGAAAAATGAGATTTATTATGAAACTAGTAACTTTAGAGGAGAATTTAGTGACACAAAAGCTTGCAATATTAATGACAATAATAATAATAATAATAATAATAATAATTAACAAGATTTAGAACGAGCAAGAGGGTCTTAATGGAATAAGTGCTTTTACGGTTAACGGTTAAAATTTTTAGCCAACTGACTGCCGACCCCATTCCATTGTTGTCAGCAGAAACTGTTTTTTCGTTCAATTTTTTTGCCACTAACGGTTAAAATTCGTCAATTCCAAAGCCTAACTGTTGAATGTTTTGGCCGTTTTACGGTTAATGGTTAACCCAATTGAGACCTTAGAGTAAACGTTTCAGTTACTTAACTGTTATTAAAGTGGGCCTTGTTAAAAAACATGTATTTCTTATTTAGTTGAATCGCATTATCAACAAAACCAGATTAAATTTGTACCACACTATTTAATCTTATGTTTGCGAATTTTTTTAAGCGTGTGGTCAAACCTTGGTCGATGTTAATTGTGTCAGGTATTCGTTGTGATTGTTCGTCAGTACATTTAAATCACCGTTATCAGTCAGTCTCACCGTTAATCCGTGATTCTCTTGTCGTTCAATACTAGTAAAATAGTCCCAACTGCTCGTTAACAACATGGCTAAAGCAAAGCCTTGCCTCGGTTTCTTTTTAGAAACTGCAGGCAGAACAGGCAGGATCTGACAGTTCTACAAGTTAAATTAACTTTTTTATACTTTTCAACTACTTTCTTTGAGATTTGAATCACCAATTTTCAGTGTTCAAATGACTACTCGAGTGCATTACTCAAGTAGTCAAATTGATCAGCTCTCACCATCGCCAGAAATCGAGGACATTTTGCTCCCGCATTCATTGGTTAGCGGATTGCAGTCGGATGAAAACAAAGACAGTGGTTAGAACAAGTTCCATATTAAATATTGAGCGATTTAAGTTCTGTGGACCTTCTTTATGGAGAAAAAAGCAAAAAAACAAAAACAACTTTGAACATATCTCTTGGTTTTTTTAAGGCAGAGCGACTTATAGAATTTTCTGTCTGATGTAATGCAAGGGACAATCTGTACTAAGCTTCAATGTCCATTCAAACTGGCTTTATTTGTAATCGTCTACGGATGTCAGACGTTTTACAAATTGTAGCTTAAACCACTTGCATTAAACAATGGGAAGATCTAGGCAAATCTTACTTGAGAAGGGCTTTTTCTACCAGTTCAACGAACGTACTATACAGATCTCTTTGATCTGCTTCCTAATTTTCGCGCGAGAAAATAAATTTATTCAAGGCTTTACTTTAGTACGAGAGGGTGTGGATTGAGTTTATTTCCCTTCAAACATTGCTGAATAAGAAAAACATATATGGCGATAGTTTGAAGGTTTCGCAGAGGGTTTTTCTTTTAACGCTTCCTCTTCTGGTGCGTTCTCTAGGATGGTCTCAGGTCACAAACTCCACAGAGCAAAAATAGCAAGTTTCAAGCTCTTTTGGAAGTATCTTATTGTCAAGAAATGTCTCTTTTTATGGACGATTTGCTTACTTCGAACTTCCCTTTATTTAATGCGATTCGGAGCTAGTTGACTTCTTGGAGGGTTGCTCCTCAAATCGACGATCCTTTGCAATGGATTACGCTGTATTTGAAACAGACTAGAGGTAATGACTAGCCTCGAATATCCAACATTGCTAACATTGTTGGAAGTAAGTAGACAAACAGCTTTTGAAATATTTTTTTGCTAGAAGTACAGCTTAATCTCTACTGAACATGTTTCGAGTCGGAGCTAGGGAATACTCTGACTCGTATTTGTTGTATTTTGGATTTTTTTCGAAATCCCATACATTTCCTTACACGATTTCGCCGCCATTAACTTCTCAATACACACGCGCGTCCGGAATTTTAACCCAAATTTCTGGCAATGACATCAGTAATGCACTTCCATTATAGATGTAAACAGCTGTATTGAGAGAGGCTGTTGGAAAAAAAGGACAAAAGTGCTCGACACAATCTTGAAAGGTAATATTGGTATCTGGTAATCAGTGGATTTAAATGCTAAAAAAAAATCTTTAAACCCGCCTCGTCATTATAGTGACATTTCCTTAGATTTCCCAGAAATCGTAAGGTCAGGGAACCGTCACCTGAGAACTACCCACAATACGATTGGGAGTTGTCACGTGAACTTATACGCTTTTTTTCCGACAAGGTTTCTCGAAACAGCTGTATATTCTCCTCATTGTACTTCCTCCTAGCAACTCCAGGAGACAAAATAAGATTATTTTTGCCCCACCCAAACCTAATGATTAATGTTGCTGACTCACCGTTAGCCACGTGACTCAGCACTAAGTCAAGAACATCTCAGCCACGTGATGAGGCGTGATATAAAGAATCCTTGCCGTAATTATCCTTAGTCAAAGGATTGCCTCCCCTCTCAAGGAGGTGCTTTACACTTTGCAGCTTGCCATGAGACACAGCAATGATTAGAGGGGTAGCACCGTTAGCGGCTTTTGACTCAATGTCCGTCATGTGAGTAAGGATAAGATCAATCATATTAGTGTCAGCACCCGCTGCAGCAAAAAGGAACGACCTCCATCCGTGGTTGTCCATGAGGGACGGATCTGCTCCTCTCTTAATCAGACCCTCCACCGCTTGAACGTCGCCATTTTGGACAGCATGCATTAGGGGCGTCCTGCCTGTTGCATCTTTAGAGTTGACAGAAAATCCTATAATCAGATAAATTAAAAAGAAATTAAGACAGTTAACATCACCAAAGAGGGAGGTCGAGGTGCGAGAGCAAATTTTGAAAAAAATTTAAACAAGTGAGCAGCGTTATGTGAACAGTGGTTGCAAAACTTGTTTATCCTCCGAGGCGTTTCGTTTAACTATCGTAGACTTCTCCATGTAGTTTTACAAGTT